TAATTGGATGTGCCTTTAGAGAGAAATGCAGGCTTACATAATGAAAGAGTTTATTTTATTAGGAGTCTATTTTCTATTTGAATTATTTCGTTTTAAAGTAGTAATTTAAAGCTTTCTATATATTTTGATCATGTCTGAGTTTAGGTTCATCATTGTGAAGCGCTCCTGTTCAAGCCCGAGACGGCAGAAAGCGTTTGTTTTCTTTATTTTATAAAAGCACAACGTTTTGTTGATATTGTGAATGCACACAAAAAAAACTAGACCCTTTACAGTTTAGAATGACGTATTACTCTTACCTTTATGAGCAAAAATGACTGCGTATTTTAAGTTGTTTCCACTGTTAGAAAAAAATGCAAGTGATCGCACTGGCGCCTCCGTGTCCTGCAGAGCGCTTCAGCTTCCACTCTCCGCACAAACGATTGGATATAACAGGCACATTTATATAGGTTAAACATTTAAACTAACATTGTGATATACTTGAACTGTTTTATATATAGATTTTATTTTAGGCAAGTCCTGATGATTTGAGAAGGCTAAATTGATCAAACATAGGCTATAGGCTATGATCAATTCACTGTCTGCCGCTGGCCTTTACTTAAAAAAACAAAAAAAACAAAAAAAAACGTACATTTAACGAACAAACAATACTCCAAATGTTTTTTCTAAATTTACTTTATAAAAAAACGAAAATAAATATAATCACTTTTCTATTACATAAAAAACTGAACTATTTTAATAGCGGAAACAGTAGTAGCCTATAAGCTTTTTTTGGGAAAAGGGGAAAAAAGGCAGTCATGGGCCTATATTTGAGACCCGTGCAGGGCTTTAATCCACTTCATCCAACGCTGTCATGAGATCAGGTTAGCCTACAACAATTCATTTGTTGGCTATTTTGCAAATCGCAAAGTATAATCGTGCCTTCCATCAATTATGGTGATGAAAAAAATGACTCGCCATCTCCTAATTGGATGTGCCTTTAGAGAGAAATGTAGTGAAAGAGTTTATTTTATTATTCGATTTGAATTACTTCGTTTTAAAGTAGTAATTTAAAGCTTTCTATATATTTTTGTCATGTCTGAGTTTAGGTTCATCATTGTGAAGCGCTCCTGTTCAAGACCGAGACGGCAGAAAGCGTTTCTTTATTTTATAAAAGCACAACGTTTTGTTGATATTGTGAGTGCACACAAATAAAACTAGACCCTTTACAGCAGTGTTTCTCAACCAGGGGTCCGTGGACCCCTAGTGGTCCTTGACATAAGCCCAGGGGGTCTGTATAAAGTATGAATTTTTGCATACATTTTGTATATTTTGACATGACATGTTCCCATGAAAGAAAAATCCAATATAGCTGATGATATGGCAAAATACTGGACAAGTCAGCTAACTTGAATTATACTTGACTGCATTTGGTCCTCACAAAGACACAAATGATACATAGATGAGTCAATGTTGTTCTGGGGGTCCTTGAGGATGGTTCTGAATTGGACTGGGGTCCGGTACCCCCGAAAGGTTGAGATTCACTGCTTTACAGAATAGAATGATGTATTACTCTTTCCTTTATGAGCAAAAATGACTGCGTATTTTAAGTTGTTTCCACTTTTAGAAAAAAATGCAAGTGATGGCGTTGGCGCCTCTATGTGCTGCAGAGCGTGCTTTAGCTTCAACTCTCCGCACAAACGATTAGATATGCGTCTAACAGCGCACATTTATCTAGGTTAAACATTTAAACTAACACTGTGATATGCTTGAACTGTTTTATATATAGATTTTATTTTAGGCAAGTCCTGATGATTTGAGAAGGCTAAATTGATCAAACATAGGCTATGATCAGCTCACTGTCTGCCGCTGGCCGTTACTTAAAGTTACTTAAAAGTAGTATAGTATAGTTTTTAGGGAAAAGGGGAAAAAGACGGGCTCAGGCCTATATTTGAGACCCGTGCAGGGCTCTAATCCTCTTCATCCAACGCTGTTTTGTTCTCATCTGTGAGCATGCTCTTGATATATGTATTTTAGGTGTGTACATGTATAATTGCCTTTTCATTATTTTTTTTATTTTATTTAAATTTGTAGTTAAAACAACTAAAAATAAATGTATTTTAAAGTTTAAAAGTTGGTTAAATTACCATGGTGTTGGTGTGCTTGACTGGTCAGCAAACTCACCAGACCTGAATTGTATTGTCAAGAGGAAAATGAGAAACAAGAGACCAAAAAATGCAGATGAGCTTAAGGCCACTGTCAAAGAAACCTGGGCTTCCATACCACCTCAGCAGTGCCACAAACTGATCACCTCCATGCCACGCCGAATTGAGGCAGTAATTAAAGCAAAAGGAGCCCCTACCAAGTATTGAGTACATGTACAGTAAATGAACATACTTTCCAGAAGGCCAATATACAACATACAATTGGTCTTATGAAGTATTCTAATTTGTTGAGATAGTGAATTGGTGGGTTTTTGTTAAATGTGAGCCAAAATCATCACAATTAAAAGAACCAAAGACTTAAACTACTTCAGTCTGCGTGCATTTAATTTATTTAATACACGAGTTTCACAATTTGAGTTGAATTACTGAAATAAATGAACTTTTCCACGACATTCTAATTTATTGAGATGCACCTGTATATATAGCTTGCATTGCACATTATAAATCTGGTCATAAGAAGAACTGAGAAACGGTTGCTTGATTATACCTTTAGGAAGGCTTGAAGGTCGAAACATAGGGACTCCAAAATATTCAGACAGCAGTGTCAGATCTGAGTCCATGTATAGAAGTTTACTAGGGTTCAATCCAGGGGGCTTGTTGCCTAAGAAAAGAGCAAACTTGATATGGGTTTCTCATCTATAAATAATACAAATTGCCACATACTGTATACTGTAGTTGACTACTGTACGTTACAAATTATACTTTCGCAGTTACAAGATTATTAAGTAGAGCTTCACATTTAGTACATATGTACTCATAAAACAAAATGATTAAATAATTATAAGAGATACATTTACCATCTGGAATATCTAAAAAGCTATGACTGTTAATGTGACATATGCATTTAGATTAGTTGTGATCATGTCATTACCTGAGCCGTATATGACTCCTCCTAAATATGTTGGTTTGAATTTGAGGTTGACGTTCCAATGGACAATATTTATTGGCATGGCAATAAATACTAAAGGCGGAAAACATTACACACCTCAAATGCCAGCCAGGAATAAGGAGAGGCAACATCATAAAAGAGATTAATAATTTTTCTGGAACTGAACATCTGTAATAGATCATCATACAAATAACTTTTGCTTTAATGTTTTTTTTTTTAAACCAAGAAGTAACTCAATATAATGTTTCCTTTCTACTTTAATAATAATCAAAAAGTTGGGCTCTCCTTTAGCTTGTTATAAGGGCATATGTTATGCAATAACCATGCATATTTCCAAGTAGTGTTCAAATCTTGATTGCTGTGACTCAAAACTGTGTTGGTCTGCCAGAATCTGGTACAAATCATAGGTAGGCATGTGCCAAACCCATCCCCTTGGCTGACATCTGAATCACATACTAGCATGCTGCTTGTACTATTTGTGTCATTATATTTATAGGGCAGATAGTGAGATTATTATGCAATTGTTAGGTATCAAATTCAGATAATGAAATACTAAGAAAAGTGAAACTTTAGACCCATACTTACGCAGATTCAAAGGAATATTGCATAAATATGTACAAACACATATTGCAAAGATAGAGATATATTGAAGAAATATGAAATATGTCAGAAAAAAAGAAAAGTTTGAAGTTAAATGCAGCTTTTTTTGTGTGTGCAAATATATTTGCCATGATTTTTGTCACCATAGTTGACCTACAAATATTGACCAAGCATTAAGATTAAGATATTGATCCTAAAGAAAGGTCGCCTAAATGTTATTGTTGGTATGTGAAATTCACATACTGGAATGTGATTTCTATAAGTGCTTGATATGAAATGGAAGCGAGAATCCTGGCTGATGTGCTGTGACTTTACCAGCTGTGTTTACTATTGTCATGGTTACAGTATTCTCAGCTGGAAAAAACTTTTTAATATATTTTAAAATAATATAATTTACAAGCATTTGTGCAACTTACCCTGGCGTCGTCCTCTGCTCCTCTTTTAGGTTCTATTTCTTCTTCTGATTCAGTTTAATGGCGATTGTCAGGTCAGTTTATGGTCTATATCTGCCACCCACTAGACCGTAGTGTCATGTGGCAATGTTACATAATATGAGGTGGTATGCAACCCACTATTAATCTTTAATGTAACACTGAAGACTGGAATAATGGCTGCTGAAAATTCACTTTTGCAATTACAGGAATAAATGGCATTTTAAAATATATTAAAATAGAAAACAGTTATTTTCAATATTCCACAATATTACTTTTTATTAAATTAGTATTAAATATATTTGTAATCATAATCAATTACAAATCCCAGGTAAATGAAATGAATGAAAAAGTTTAGACATTCGATGCTTTGGGTGTTTGTGTCATATAGATTTGCATATAAAATATAGTCTTCAATGTGTTTATCAATCATTTGTGAAATTATGAAATACTAGGCCTATAATAAACCCAAACGCATAACAAGGGTCTTAAATACCATTTAAAAAAATAATTAATTAAAAAAGTTAAATGAATAAACAACAATAACTTATAACTTACTTTACATGGTTTTTTAAATAATTGAATTAATTTGACAAGAAAAATCATAATCTACACAATCTACAATGCATAGTCCATTCAAAGAGTGTACATTTCTATTTTACACCACAAGATGGCAGTAAATGCATGATAATAAGTAAGCTGAACTGAAATCTTGACCTGCCTGTCAATCCCTAACATATTTTCATTATCAAATAATTTAATGCAAAAGGTTGTAGGTCATGTGGGTCACATGCCCATCACATAGTCCAATCAAATCCAGGATTACCAAGACAAATATAAAGGCTTTTTATATGTTTGTAGCATATAAAGTGCTTCAAAAAGATTTTTACAAATAAAACTCCATCTGCCTTGGGGATTTGTCTACTCCTCCCCCTTCTGAAAAACTTGAAGGTGTTTGCTCTGCACACAGCCCTGATCCTGAGGGTCTGCTGATGCCTTGTGTAATGAGAGGAAAATGAGAGTGATTCATTTGAAGGGGTCAGTATTGAGTTGAACTGTGGATGCCCATTTTCCCCACTGCCTTCCCATGTGAACAGCGAAGCCTCAGAGCTGCTTCTTATAATAACACACACACACACACACTCTCTCTCTCTCTCTCATACACACACAAAAACACATGACCACACACCCCTCACCACGGCCCCCACCACATCCTGCATCCTGCTGAAGCCTGACCGCTCCTGTCAGGAAGTAGCTCACTAATAAGCAGAAAGGTCCTGTGGATGAGTCTCTCTAGGGTAAAGGAGGGAGGCTATTGTGTATCTACGGAACTCAGTGTATCATCATCACCCTGTAATCACGATGAGTTTGTTTCTGCTGGTCTGAGATTAATGCTATACTCTGCAGTAACTGCTACATCAGTGCTTTGACTGATTCATAGAGCATACATGATCATGTGTCATTCCACATCCTCACGATATACATTTTAATATATTTGATAAAATAGTAAATGAAAAAGTCTTTGATTTTATTATTATTTTTTTTTCTTCATTTTTTATTTAATTTAGAAGTATGAGTTTATAACTATGAGTAATGAGTCTTAACACTGTACACATTAGGACAGGGCAAAATAAAATAAATAAAACATATTTTTGAATTTATTTATTTTACATGGAACACAATAGGAGAAGTTTCACAGATTGTTCACGCTCTTGTTATGTTCTGCTCTTTGTCATTCAGTGAATGGGGACTAAGGCTGATGAGCAACAAAACAAAACATAAAAATAGTAAATTTTTGGTCTGTCTTTGACACAAAACTATCATATAGTATAAGTGCTTTTATTAAATTTTATTATTTTTTAAAGTTATTCACTTATTAAAAATGATCTAAAAATTACACCTACTAATAGATCAAACTGACATAAGCAAAAACTAAACTAAACTAAAAATTGTATTTAAAAAATGTAGAATAAGGATATGCAAACATAAAATACAGACATGCATTTATAAGACATTAATTTATTTTAAATCATTTTAAAGATCTCAAATAATTATATTAAATCATTTTAAATAAAACAAAACGGGCAAATTATCATGAAAAAATCCAGGCGTTTCTTTGTTTTTCCTTAAAAACTTGTATGATAAAATCACCAAGATCATTAAAAGCAATGGTGATCTAAAAATATCAAAATGAACTTAAGTTTGTGTCTGGTTCAGTGAGTAGGTGACCTTATGTGCATAACAGGTACTGCATAACAGGAATTATCCTCATTGTCACTCTCTTCCTCATAGGTGTGTACAGAAGCAAATTTAACATGATGTCCCAACACAAACATTCTCCGTATCAGGGCTGAATGTGCTGAAGTCACACTCAAACAAAATGGCACAATAATAGGCCCATTATGTCATGTGTAGCAGTGCAGTGGCGCAGGCAGAGGCGAGGAGAGAGTGGGAGGGAGGGCGGAAACAAAAATGAGTGAGCGAGCATGTAAATGACTGAGTGAGAGAGTGAGGGAGTGAGGGAGTGTGTGCTCTGACTGCACGCTGAGGGCCAGATCTGCACATCCTGTGCTCTGTTCCGCTCACATTTCACATGACCTGAGAGGATGTTGAGCAATCAGCAGGCTCTGCAGAGGTACAGTATAAATACAGACGTATTCACATTCACAAGATCAAAAGCGCCTGTGGAACGCACACATGCAGTAAAAAGAACATATGGACACATGCATGTCCACTATAGCCCACATGCACATGCTTAAAAAAATTTTTTTACATTAACATCTGGACATTGCCTTGAATACACACCTTCCAAGACTATTTTCCATGAGCAACAAACCTGGCGGCACTCCCAGCTGATGGCATCCTGTCTCATACAAACACACGCATTATGCTGACCTACTCTCCACATATCTCAGCAAGTGGGTAATTGACATCAAATTTCAATCAGTGATGGAGAGTCCTGTGGTATAACACACTATATTTAATCTAAAACTATTTGAAGCATTTTTATTTCTAATCTTTGTGCATTTATTGAGAATGAGAATGAGTTTTTTTTTATTAATGGTGCATGCTGAAATAAGCATTGCTGTTTCTATTGCTCATGCTTAAGGATCATAACTATCCCCTAACACTAAATATAGCATAAATCATCCTTTACCATTTATGCCACAGACACAAAAGACACTTCAGATTATGAGGAGAGATGTGCTATTATTTTTCTAAGCAATAGAATGTATTATTTATGATCCCATGGGAGTTGATAAAAGACGCAAAAAAAGTTTTAAACATTTAAAGTTTTAAAATAAGGAAAACATACACTTAATATGTGAAATTAAACTAAAATAAAATAAAAATAAGAATGTAAGAAATGGGATATGCAAAAGTATAATACAGTAGTAAACAGAATACAACCATTGGCCAACACTTGACCAGAATACAACACTTTATTGGTGAATGTTAATTTAATAAAAAAAATTAAATTAAATTAATATATAACTAAAAGTTAATATATTAAAAAATATTATTTTAATATATAGTCTCTTCATGTTTTTCTTTTGAAAAAGAGAATGGAAGCAGGGTGATATCAAAAATTCAAAGGTTGTTTAAAAATATCAAAATAGCTTTCAACAAAAGCACTACACACACACTTTCAATACAATACAAAATCATGATGTTGAAAAACAAGTGATATTTATTTTGATATCTGCATTCCATAATCACTCCGATCTATTTAGAATTTAGTGTTTAAAAAATGTCCTATGATTACAGATTAGATTACATTACCTGCAGTTTATGTTGTATGGAATAAATGCGAGCCTGTCTACAAAGCTGCAGTATGTGCAGATTACACAATAGTGTTTGTGCATGTGGAAATTTCTCCAGCAGGCCAAGGGCTGTGTTTCGGTTGACCACAAATAGTTTGCTGATTGTTTCTCAGTGAGAGACTTAACGCTTCTGGCATGGTCCCACACTGAAGAAGGAAATACAAATCATGACCTCACCCACCAGTTATTCCCCAAATGCCATTTACATTGACGCGGAGCATATAATAATGTTGTTTTGCCTTTCAAAATGCCAGCATAAATGCTTTATACAGCCCAGTGACAATGAGAAGGAGAATACAGTCACGCTCGTTAGAAATTGAAAGTTTAAAACTCGATAAATCATGCCTTATGGATTATGTCAGATAGTTGAATGAGTGCAGACAAAGGCTAGATCCACAAACCCGGGAGGAACTTGGGAGGAAGAACATCAAATGAAAAGGACACAACAGCATGACAGCGACAGGGAAATGTGACATGTTTAAACAGTCAGGCATTGTGTGGCCTTAACCCACGGGACACAAACCCCAGCAGGGAGGACAGAGTCTTAGGCAATCCTGACTCAATGGGCCATGACAAAGATGGCTTTGTGAGCATGCGGGACACTCACGTATTGTGTGAACACTACGGAGGGTGCGTGTGGTCTGAAGCAGCACTGAGGTGGTGTTCAGGTTACAGGGGGCACCACAGAAAATAAAACACACCGCCCAAACAGACCTAAAACTCCATCATCTTGTCATCAGACACCACCCCACCTGTTTCCCTACAACCACCTCACATTTTCAACAATAGCTCCAATGATAGGCGCCCTCCCTCACTTCGTCTTCACTGTCTTCGTCGGAGGAACGGGGAAAATAAATTGTTTTTCTCCAGAACAAACAGCAACCTAAAGATAGTTCTTCAAAGGGAACACTCTGTGAAGAACGCACTGTGCGCTAATTGAGATAATAGCCTGATGAAGGGTACGTGAAGTCTTACTGCTAATCTTTTATGTGGGAGGAAATTTGCAAAGGCAAATAAATACATCTCGTCTTGGAAAACTGGTGCCTTCCTGCAGTGGTAACACACGGTTATGCAATATGGTTAACATGCAATCATTTTCATCAGTCAAGATTTGAAAGTTTTGTTTATATGAACCCTAAACATTGCAACCTGATTAAGATTTTCATTTACATGTATTTTAAACAAACTTCAGATTATTGACTTTAAGATTACTGGAGTACATTTTAAAAGAAAATACTTATACAGATGTTTCTACTTCAAAATTTCACATTAAACATTTCAATAGCTGCTGACAAGATCGTTTTTTTTT